GTGACTTTTATACAGGTCAGGCTTCAGATTTGATAGATGTTAATATCTCATTGCACACTTTTAGAAAAAAGTTCCAAAATAATTTTCAGTGAATCAGTATTTGGACATCACAGTGTGATATTATACAGTTGGTCTATTGAGATACCACAGTATTTTCTATCATTTCTACAGTTCTTTTTTGAATCATTTCTAAACAGTCCTTAAAACGTTTCCATGGTTTCCAGTGTTTTCAAGGTTTGAGAAATATACAAATCCTGGATCAGTTGCCCATAAGGAGATCCCATGTCTTTTGAAATATCCATCTGCTGTAATGAGACTGCGCTCCATCTGTGAACCTGTGACATGACCTCAGATGACTTCCTGTTCCATGTTCACACTCGACACAAGACCTGCTGGAGGTGTTTCAGTTCCTTGGAATGGACTGGAAAAATAAGCCAATTTTTTTTTTTGATTTTAAATCTGCCGTGTGACTGGGAGCTAATGAAACACTTCTCCTGGAGTCTGGACTCGGTGTCTCTCGCACATGCAGTACTGCACAGGCAGTACACGCATTCCAGCCAAGTGACCAGAGTATTCCAGAACACATGCACTCTTTCTCATTAATAAGAAAAACCTTAAAAATGTTCAACACTTGTATTTGTTCATTATTTGCAAATATCAGCTAATGCTACGAAACAATACCTGCAATCAGGACCAGTATACAAAATAAATAGTATTATAAACCCGTCCAAGGCCTAAATTAAGCACTTGAATATCTGAAGCTAGCTTCTATATCTGGGAGTTAGCTCAAATGATCAGAGCTGGCTTGACTAAAATGTTGAAGAGAAGTTACAAACCTGAACCGAAATCATTGTTAAAAGAGAATTTATTAGAAATGTTCTGCAAAATGGCCACAAAAAAAAGCAAAAATGCAAAAAAACAAGCCATAACATAACTAAATATATCAAATATACCAAAAAATTGTCAAAAATAAGAAAAAACAAGCTTAAAACACCAAATTGTTGCCAACGTTATCATCCCAGACGTTGACCTTTAAACTTAAAACACCAAATTGTTGCTAAAGTTATCATCCCAGACGTTGACCTTTAAAAAGCTGCAGATAAAGTAGAAATGCAAGAGAATGAGTCAGAGCAGCACAGTGTCTTGTAGGTCAGGCGGTGGGTGATGCCTGACATGAGGATGCTGGGAACAGTTCTGTCTCACCCACTGCCTCAGTGTCTAACACTCTCTTCAGCTGAGTTCTCCCATGAAGAAACCTCTCAATAAAAAAACCTGTAGCTAATCACTAGTCAAATCTCAGCTTCCTGTTTGTCACCAGTGATTGGTTAACCTAATAATTTCCACGTTCTTCAGTGGCTCTGTACTTGGCGCTATATTTACTTGTGATGTTTTTCGTCAGTCATATATCTTCGCTAACACTCATCGTCAGATTCGATCTTTACAACTTGGCGCTGCTTTTATGACTAAACCTCACAAGAATTCCCTTTCATCCCAAAGACAACACGAGCTGATTTAGTGTGTCGTCTGAGCTGGAGCCGGGCCGAAGACAAGGTGCTGTTAAATTTCCTCTGGCACTGAGGCTTTCCACGTTGTCACTGCAGACACCGGTGATTTGTTGAAGAGGCTTCTGTAGAGACTGTCAGCAGCTGAGAGCTGATGTTCAACAGCGTGGACGGACGGATGGTCGTCACAACAGAACAGCTTTCTTGGATCTCACTCAGGTTCAAGTGTGGTTGGTGGAGCTTTTTGGTCACACGTAAATCTGAACAGGAGTATTGAACACAGTGTAGTGAGTGGTCTTTGCTTTAGATGTTTTAGGCCTCCTGTGGCTCAGCATTTGAAAAGCAGTTGCTTGTAATTAGAAAGTCGCTGGTTTAAATCCCGGTCCTGGCAGGACAGTGGTGATCTGAGTGATCACCCAAAAGTCCCCTGTGAGTATTTTCCTTTAATACTACAATACAGTACTAGTACAGAAAGAGGCTTCTTTTTCTTCAGACTTGTGGCCACCATTAAAAAGCCTCAGTGTTTTGTTCAAGTACAAAAAAAAAAACCTGTCCCAGTTTTTCTCTCCTACTTTTTATTTTACAGCTCACTTCCCTGAGCAGCACTTGTGGCTTCTGCTGCTCCGCTGCCCGTTTAAGCGTCCAAGTGTGAAAGTCTGTTTGTGTCTGGAGGCGAGAGGGTCTACGTGCCAGGTTCTCATGATGATGGAGCAGGTCCCTGTTTTCTCAGTCTCTGTGTGTGTTACTGTTTATGAGGCACGACATCAGAGTGAGAGGGCTGAGGGATGGAGGAAGTCAATCTCCCCATGCCTGGCTGCACACCACTGTATTCACAGCCACCATCATCACTCTTCCTCAGGTGTGACAGTAGTGTGTGTGTTGTGTGGGTGGGTGGCTGTCACGCTGCTCATGACCCCACTGGGCTGACAGAGGTCGCGCTCTAAGGCGTGAGAGTTTGCTGCGACTGCTTTAGAAAACCAGGTTGGAGAAAAAACAGTAGCATCAGAAATGTGTGTTTGTTTTTGTGTGACTGTCAGCACAGGTACAGTGTGTTCTTTAAAGTGTCTGAGCTGGGCTGTGGAGGAGGGAGCTGTCAGTGGAGGTTCTTCTAACGGGTGGGAGGTTCTGTGTTGGTGTGTTTTTCATGTGACAGCGCTCTTGTGTGTGTCTGTGGTGGCTTCACACACACCTTCACAAAGACAGAACTTTGTAGAACATTGAAACAACCCTTTTTATTCACGGCTTTAACCCTCTTTCAATGAATCTGTCTCAAGGTTTCATTTCTTTTTCTACTACTACCAAGAAAACAAACCAACTTCCTGGTCGTCCCACATGAAAGTAGGAAAAGTCAGTCTCTGAAATGCTCTCCCAAGGTGCTGTAGTTCACTAAGTTTTAATCCCTCTGTGCCAGCGTCACTCTCTGAACAATGATTCTGTAGACACTCAACTATGGAAGAAAAATAATAATATTTTTTAAGGTTGAAGTGATCTAAAGAACCCTGAAATTTGAAGAAATCTTCAAACCTTAGTTATTCCCAACTCCTGATATTTTCTGCCAAAGCAGTCGAGATTCATCACATTTGTATCCAATCATACGTCATCATTTAAACTACTCACAGTTCAGTCAAGTTAACTTCCACTCACTGACTGTAATGCCATTGTGCCTGTGCAACAAAAGGATCAAAGTGACGACGCTATCATGTCAACATTAAGATCACTCACTCACACACACACTCACTCACACACACACACACACACACACACAGACAGCAGAGACACAGTGTCTCCTCACATTTACTGAAAACGTCCACTTGTTTGTGTATGTTTATGTACACCAAACCCCACTCTGTCTGCCCGCCTGTCTTCATCCATCACTATTACAGGAGTTCACACAGACCCTCACACACTGCTGTATGTATGTATGCTGGGATGTGTGTCGACAGTCATGTTGTGACACAGACTCCCCACAGTGTGACCTTTAAGTCCAGGCTGTGTTGCTGGATGTGATCTGGACTCAGACTGGCTGACAGGCAGAAAGAAGAGTTGAGACAACAGGCAAAGGTTCAGCTTGGCGGGGGAAGTCCTCCTTCTCCTGTCTCCATGGCAACAGTCACACCATTCTGACCACATTCCGTCACATTCATAACACCAGTCTCCTTTTTCCCTCTGCCTGTGTCTGCAAAAAACCTCTGCTGGACACTGTGGTCTCCTGGCTTCTGCATGGTGGTGTTAAATGCAGACTCTGTGTCTAACAGGTGTTTCAGCATCACTGCATTAAAGAGAATCAGACCAGACGCAGCAGTATCACTGCAGCACCACCTAGGGTGGCACTTTTAACATGCCATACACATAGCTGTGTTGAATCATTGGAGCTTTGAAAAGTAAGAGTAAGGACTGTACCTAGAGGAGCTTCACTGGAACTTTCCATAATTCTTTAGGGGGCCCTGGGTTCTGGGACTGCGTAGAACATGCAAACTGATCTTGTTGCAGTAAGACGAGACAGAGAGCAGCTCTATGATATTAATCCTTCTTTCTTCAGACAATTTACAGATGATGGAGCAGAAGGTCCTGCAGGAACACTAGCTCAATTTTTCATAAACACCTGATCACTTTCACCGTTTTCCTATGTTAACTTTAACCCACTCCTCTAAATGTCTTTGTTCTGATTCAGACTTTTGTCCAGCTCCTCTGCAGCTCAACGACATCATGTCAGTCATGAGGATTGATCTTGTCAGGAACCATCAGGTGGTTTGTTCTGTCTGTCCTTGATGAATGGACCAGAACCTACATTTCTAATGTCTAATCTCAGGTCTGATCCTGGAACATCATGAATTCTTATGTCCCTTCAATCAATCACAAACTGTCTGACGTACAAATGACTTCTCCTCCAACGGAGCTTCATCTGGGCTGACACAAATCACCTGACGTTTCTCCTCCTCCCCCTCCTTTTGTCGCTCTGTCTAGACTTCCAGTTTACATTGTCACATTTCACTCTGTTCTGAGGCAAAGGTGGGGGGCGGGGGCCAGAAGGAAATGATGTTTGAGACAGGAGGACTCCTCAGGGACAGACACGATGGCCCATCTGAAGCCCACTCTGACACTCTTCACACTACTCCTGTCAATACCTTTGTGGATTTAAAGTTTTAGTTGGTCTGTCTTGAGGTGAGAGGGACTGCCCGGTGGCTTGTCTTTCTGGGTTCTCGGGCCTCCAGGTTAGTTCATTTTAAGAAAGTTCAGAAGTCAGACGCTGGACGTCGGGCTTCTTCTCATTGGTCTATCCTTGATTTGAATGAGAAACATTGAAGTCTGACTCTCACAAATGAATTGAATCTTTTTCTGAAACTCGTGTTTAAGTAAAGAACGTTCTTCACAGCCGTCACACAGGTGTACTTCAACTTGGTCACAGTTCTCTGATAAACGTCGTTAAACTTCAACATGTGCAGAAATAATCTTTGTCGACTTCACCTCTGTTTTCCCATATGGTTTCCTCCTGGTCAGGTCTTGATGCTGATCAACAGTGATGACAGCTTCCTGTCCCAGTTTCTTCCCGCCCTCACCTCCATGAAACAACAGGGTGGTGTCGCCACAGCCTATGTTTGCCAGGACTTCACTTGCTCCCTTCCCATCACTGACCCCGAGGAACTTCGTCGGATCCTGCTGGAAGGGATCACGGACACTCAGAGGGAATGACTGTTAAAGGACTTCACAGGTGGAAAAATTAGACTTTGTAGTAATTAGAGAGCTTAAATCTAAGCTCCACAGGAGGAGCAGAGACACCAGGATGTGACTAGAGCTACACTCTTCAACGCCAGCCTGGTCTTCATGAGCAGCATGAGCTAAACATTACCTCAATGGCAACTTTAACCTTCACAGTGATGTGAGTAAGTCTTTAGACTTTAGGTTTCACCTTGAAAAAAAAACAAATGTACTTTCTTTATTCAAGTATTTCTGAAATCTCAAATCTATAAAAAATTGTTGATAAACCAGTTATACAGTTCTGAAAATGCCCAGTGTGACCGGTGTAACATGGATAGAGTGGTGGGGGATTTCTACCATCATCATTCTACATCTCTAGAACAGAGGCTCAGCCAAACATAAATAACCTAGTAGAAAAATAGAAACAAAACAAAAAACAGTGCTCAACACAGAACCTTGAAGTCTCATCTTATAACAGAAACATTATAGCACAAGAATTGAAAACATCAATGCTTCTCTTGATATTGAACTTTTCACCAGTGTCTTAGTCTTCTTGCAAAAGTTACAGGCAGAATAAAAGTACGTACGTTGCATCTTAATGTTAGATCTCATAGTCTCAGGGTCCCACCAAAACCACAAAGACTGTGATAGTCATGATAAAAACTAAAATGCAATATTTTGAAATGGCGATAAGATCATACTTAAGACCCCAGCTTGAGCGCATTAATGTCTTAGCATTGCTGCATATTAGCAGACTGTAAGATAATTAAATATTATATTTGGTTAAGGAAATTTATATAAGATAACTCATACAAACAGCAGTGGCAGCTTTTTAGCATTTAGACTGTTAGCTTCAAAGTAACTTACAACACACCACACAGACACATCAGTGACCTTTTGGATAATCTCCACCTGCAGTATTTTTTTTTTTTCAGTTTTATCCTTATTCTCTCCTGTTCCCAGTGTTTATTTTTCCACATTTGTGTCACATGGATGTGACAGCACTTGCCTGCATGTCTTGGTTCTGTATGGGTTTATCTTTGTATGTTTTTTGTGTCTGTAGATGTTAAAATTTAAGGAACATGTTCCAACATCCTCACAGAAAAGGACTTTCACATATGTTCTCGTCCTGATCTGTTATCCTTTGCTGTTCTTTGTGCAATTTATGTATAAAATATATCAGAGCAGTGCTCACAAATATGCAGTGAACAACCCCTGAATAATACTGTAGTTATTTCTTTTTTACGCTGCCTCCTGCTGTTTTCCCTATATTTATTTCTCTGTTAAACAGGTTTCTCAGCAATAGTTGGCTTCTATTAGATTTGTTGTATAGTTTTTTTTATATCCTGACTCAAGTCCTTTATTATTCAGAAAATTCAAAAATATGAAAAAACAGTCAGCAAAGAATGATTTAAAATCTTTACTCTGACTTTATAAAGAATTTTGAAGACTCAGCAAAGGTCAAGGCCAAAAAAAAGTTCGAAATGAAATAAAAAATTCTTCAGAGTTTCTTCTGGAAGAGACTGGAATGAGTCCAGTGAAATCTTGGCAGCTCCGTCAGGACTCTGCAGTCCAGAGACTCTTGGTCAGAATTTTAATGTTTAAGAAGGATACCAAGTTCAAGGACGCTGATTGGTTAAAACTAAAATATAATAAAAATCAATGGTAACAAAGCAAATAACTCAAACAATCAACACAGCTAACGCGGATCTAATTAATCGGAAGTCGATTTCCACTCATTCCCAGGCATACATTATGATGTCACACCACCAGCCAATCAGGAGTCAGACAGGTCGGTGTCGCCAAGTTAGTTTGGGGACGCACAGGTGGTTCTGATGACGTATGACCTCGTAAAGAAACGGCAGCTCATCGCTGAGGCGACGTCGGAGAACTTTTTAGTAAATATTTGACTTATTTTAAAAGATGGAATCAAGACTGAAGGTTCCAGACCTCTTGAAGACCAACCTGAGCTCTGTGAGGAACTCTTTTGAAGTCATGGTGGGACCACCGCGTCAAGGAGCGGCGCTACTTTTCAAAGGTGGAACAATTGAACCAAAACAACCGACAAAGTTCAGGAAGTGGTGAGTCCCGTTTAATTTTTCAGGGTCTGAAATTAAATTGGTTATGATTGTGTTCGTCCTCGAATTAATAGTTTTAATGTGGTTTATTTACGGCTTTTGAGTTGTAGTTGCAGTAGGTTAGTTGCAGCGGCGGCTGGCCCATTGAGGGTGTTCGAATGTCTCCTGATATCTTGGAATTTCTTTTGAAAAACATGTTTAATGACTTATTTTGAGTGTGACTGTGTTCAAAATACACCACGAAGTATTATATGTAAAATATAAATCATATTTTTGTGGAAAATTGCTTTCGACTCATCTCGCTCCTAACTTCTTCGGAGCTTCTGGGCCGCCGTCAATGTAGCATCACAGCTACTTAATGAGCTGTTGCTAACACGGGTTATGCTCATAGCGCCAGAAATGTATCCAATCAGCGTCGTCGAAACTGATGGTTTAAGGCTTGTCGCCCGAGCCGAGTCCCTCGGTGACGGAATGGATATGTAAAGTAGCGCACCGTTTCACGTGTTCGGCTTTCCACCTGCAGAACACTAGTGTAACAGTCAACAGCCTTGTGTGTAAAAATGTGTGAATATGATTAAGTAATTTGTTTACATGTTCAGTTTCAAATGCAAAACACGCATGCTTTTTCTTTTTATGTTTAAAAATCCCTCAACTTTTTAATGCTAGCATTAATAATTGCTGTCCCACACCGCACTCAATACTGCACAGCCAGACATAGAACATTTTTCATCAGCCGCCACTACATATATAGAAAAAAAGATAGATACTAGCTTAAAGTTAACATAACAATGATAATATGAATACTTATATGTTTTATTGTTATTATTTATTTGTTAATGTATGTATAACTTACTCATAAACTTCATAGATTAATAATATCATAATTTTTCTGAAAGATGTTCTGACTAGCTGCTTTGTTACAGTCAGCCAGAAAATTCAAATTATAGGCAAAACCCAATGTAGAGACTAGAGCTTGAAATTTAGTCTGACTTCTTACAGAAACTTTGCAAAGGTCAAGGCTAAAAATGTGAAAGGAAATATTGTGATTAAAAAGTCTTTCAGCGTTTCCTCTGGTAGAGACCAGCAGGGGTCCAGCGAGGTCTTGGCTCAACATCTGGCAGCTTCCGCCAAAGAATTTTTCAGGATTGTTCTGTTACAGAAGGAAATCTGAGGGAATTGGTATGATGCTTAATAGCATAAAAATAATAACAATAGTAATTATTTTACCAGCTGTTATTTTTATTATATACTAAAATGTAACAAAGGGTTAGGTACTAATTTTATTTAAAACTGTTTTTGTGCTGGTATCTAAATCCACTTGTTGTAGTAAACAAGTAGTTTTAAAGCATCATACCTGACATTGGAAAGTGTTAGTGATTGTGTGATACGGAAACCCAGAAGGACATTTTTGTTGTATTGATGTTGAGGTTTTTATTGATTTTTACGACAGAGCAGTGAGACACAGCTGAGGACAGTGGTGTTGTAGTACAGCAGTGAAAACATGGAGATGTTAAGTTGCTGTTCCTTCTGGATGGAGGTGTCACGTTTTCTCCTGTGGCTGCGCCCCCCCTCCGCCCCCCCGACCACCACTTCCTCCTCCTCCCGCTGTTTCGCTTCCACAGCCTGGAGCAGGAATCCTGGGAGACAAACTCCCTCGCCTCCATCTGTCTCTCCACCCAACATACACACTCTCACACATACACACCGCCTTACCAGCGCACACCTTCTGACGACGGTACGGTCGCAGACACACACATACACACACAGTCTGTTTTACCTTCATTTGTCTACTGCAAGAGGAGAACACACAACGTTGGGTTTCTTCCCCTTACGATTCTTATTTTTAGCACAAAAAGAAAGGAAAGAGAGAGGGAGGGAGAGAGAGGCTGCTGGCACACACTCACAGTGGAACTTTCCAGAGAACATCCCATAATACACTGAGAGACAGAACACGTCCCTATAAAATGCCAGCTTGTGCTTTTTCAGTTATTCTGGAGGATTCCGTGAGTCTTCAAGCAGTACTGTGTTGTCCTTGTGAGGAACATGGCACCGAGGTTTAAACAGGAAGTTGTTGGGGTTTTTTTTAATGACAGGCGTTCAGCTGCTGTCATCCAACTACCTGGTGGTGGTTGAAAGTCTCCACCAGTCTGAAGACATAGCTGCAGTAGGCTCATGTCATGAAGTTCTGCAGAGTGACTTCTCTCAAGTGATTTCTGGTACTCCCTCTGTAGGCAGAGTATTTTTGCAAATACCTTCAATCAACTACTTTTTATCCACCTTAGGTCACTTAGCTGACATCACAGAGTTTATCCCAAGTTTTGTCAAACATTCTTCCACACTCCCAGTAATCAGCCAAGGGGGAGAAGGGAGGAGGTGAGGAGAGGGGGTGGAAGTTCTTAATCTCACCAATGGCAACGAGTCAAGTTGAGCTGGCCCTGGCATTAGGGTTACATTTATGTCTGACATTCAAATAATGCATTGGTTCAAGGTTTTGTTTCTGTAGGTACTGATTGTTTTCCACAATTGTGTTGAGTCCTCCATGTTTTTTAGACACAGTGTTTAGTTAAACATAAGCATTATCTAGCTATTTTTGGCCTAATGTTTGCTTTTCTATATTGTTGTTGTTGTTGTTATGCCAACCTTGAGCTTTTAAGGCTATCTATCTGTATTGTTGTTGTTGTTAAGCCAACCTTGAGCTTTTAAGGCTATCTATTATTTATTTTGTTTTTTTTATTACATTGTCTATCTTACCGGTACCTGGCTCGTTATTTATTTTTAGTTTTGCTTCTCCGTGAATTGTATTTGCTGCAGATTATAAAAATGTCTCTGAATTACAGTAGTCAATGTGTTTCCTACCATAATTATTTGCAGTTTTGACAATATACTCCACTGTCAGTATCTCATCCATCCAGTATGTTGGTTTTTGCCCTGACCCCAATTCTCTCTCTCTCTCTCCCTCTCTCTCACTCAATCTCGCTCTCCCTGTAGACACATACGGTATACAGACACACACACATCAACACACTTGCCCCCCACCCCCACCCCTTTAACTCACTTTCCTCCTCCCTATTAATTATTCAGATGAGCTGCATGGACTAAATTCTCATCAGCTGACCAGATTAACAGTTGACCTCAGATAACCTCTGTTCATTATGGAGAAATAAACTTCAGGTGTTTTGGTCCAAGCCTTTAGTGGATGATCACCAGGGGAGGGAGTTAATGGGGGTGGTGAGGTGTGGTCTCATAGACCTGCCCATTATTTTCCTTCCCCTTCAGAAGTTAATACTGAAATAATCCCAGGACTGAAATTTTAGTAGAATTTAGAAAAAAAAGTAGAATTTTTACTTAAACCCTAAAGATATGTGAAGTCACACACCTGTTGGGGTTGATTGTGGTGTTTTATACCTTACATGTCTAAAATCATGGGCCTGTCGGGCAAATTATGATACTAATACTGGCTCTACAAATATAGCCATTTGATTTGTATCTACTTCTTGGATTTCTTTGTTATTTGTGGTTGTGTCTAATGGTAGCTATTTAAGTTTTAATTAATGCTGATTTACTACCACACTTTTACCTACAGTATTCCTGTTAATTATACAGTAAGTAATTAATATTGTGGCCAATTTATTATTTAGTTTGTTTACTTCTGAGTCATTGTAAAATTGACCTAATTTTTGGCTAAGGTTAAGCTCATCTTGAATTTTTTAAATTGTAAATAACTTCTACACTAGTAATATTTTCTGTCTTTTTTGGCTCATATGTCAAAAATAATGGACATGTTAAAACTGTCTTGGTGTCAGAGGACATTAATATAGACAGTGTCTCACACTCATATGAAAGTGTCTCCTGGTGCACAGCATGTTTCCTCTTCACCTTCAGGTCTGAGGTCATGTGAATTAAATGACATCATCTGAAAAAAGTACATATTCATTCACAGTATTTTCTAGGACAGTTGCTCTTACATGAAAAAAAAAACAATATTTCAAACAACAATTGCTCAGTTTTCCGTCTCAACAGCTTCAACCATCCCATTTCTCAAATGACTGCTTCTTCAATGTTCAGCTTATTTAGTGAAAGAGAAACACTCAGTAAACACTCAGGCTTAGCAGATTTAATTTTCAGAGAGGAACT